ATGAATGTACTATAACGAGGTATAACACGTTAAACACGTGAACGATGGTATATACGTTCGACGATGAATTTTTCTGCAAGAGAAACGTTGTTAATTAATATGTACATGACACGCTGCGCGGTAGTTGATTTAAAGGTTGTTATGTCCTATTTAAAGCGCAATTTCGTTATCTAGCGAATGTGTGCACATACGTTAGATAAAATAGAGCGATAGCATCTCGTTTCTACCTTTGTTCGTGCCCGTGAACGTTCAAGAGACACTGAATCCTCTTTAAAGAAACAACAACCATTTGTTAAATATAAATTGTAGAAATTTTCCATAGATCATGAATAGACACTTTTTATAGAAAATAGAACATCGGCTTGAAAACGTCCTATTGAATACCTGTCCGATTTTCAGCCAGGTATTCTTTCTCTTCTCTCGAAGAGGAAGCTTCCACCGTTACAATGACAAATGCTGGCAAGAATTCAACGGAAGATTAAAAATCGTTACCGTACGAGGCGAAACGAGAGGTGCACAGAGGCCAGAAAGAGGTTTACGTACACCTACGTGTCGACGTCCGCCGAATATATTTCTGGAACGGAATAAACGGATCGCGAAAGCCGAAGCTTTTCGAATGATTCTGAATTTCCGTGACGAAACGCCGAGATATCGCGAATTCAATCGCCGTATCACTGTTTCCGCGATACTTGAACCTTTGTTGTTTGTTACTTATGACTCATGACGCGGTGAAAATAATCCTTTGTTATGCGCTGCACTGTAATTGCAATCACTCAAAACATGAATTTTCTAATTATAGTAATATATGGAGATTGATTGCCACGATGGAAGGAAGAAAATAGGTAAATTCCGACGCGTTCGGTTAGTGAGAGGATTGATTACCAAAGAGTTATAAACTTTCATCTCCGCATCTGCGAAGACAACTCCTGAAATCGCAGTTGCACGACCCACATTGATTATCTCGCGGCTCCGATAAATGATAACGCGAAAGTAACCGAGGTTAATAAACCAAGCTTCAATCGAACATTATCGGTTATTGTCATTTTATTCGCTTTTCACTCGTTTAATCGTCGAAACAAAATACGATACTCCGAAATTTTTGTATTATATCATGATAATTCGAGAAGGCGGTCGAAAATGAAAACCGACAGAAAAATCCTAACTTCTGGATGATTATCTTGTCTTGTATAATAAGACACAAGAATGATAAGAAATGACTCCGAGAATAGCGTGCAGTAATAATTAAAAGTAATCTGAGTAATGATCGGGTATGATTCGTTTGGAAGGAAAACCAGCGAGGAAGGGTTGATTTTTCATGGAAACGAAAGCTTCTTCGAGGCGAAGAGAACGGAGTTGCACAGACAGACTTGTTGCTTGGCGTATTTTATTTTTGTAAACGAAAGACGATACTTCGCGGCACACTCGCCTATTTTGTAGGCCTCGTAATCGTCGCTCGTAATGCTTCGCCACAAATTCAACAGGCGAGCCGTGGAAAACGCGAATCTTTGCGGAAAACGAAGAGTAAACAAATCCCGGTTAGAATTAATATTATTTTCCCAAACGTTGTTCCGCGAAACTTTGTCGTCGAGCTTGTGAATTTTGTAAAATACCGCTGACAATAGATAAATTATTCCATCCACGTTGGTTTCTTTATTTATCCCGAAGACGTCTTATAAATATTGCGGTTCACTACTTCAGGGTTGACCCGAATGTCGGACACAAATAGTGAAAGGGTTAAGGAACCAGAAGGTCCTGGAGTACGAAATTAGAACGTTATCGGAATGCTTCGATATTTTTTTTCCGTTTCAAACACTCAATAGTTTGATCTGTGAATAACCTATGTTCTATAGTAGCGATGCTCATTTCACGGATCATTGACCACGGTTTATTTTCTTAATTGTGCAGCTGAACAAGCATTCGACTTCGTCAGTTTCGATAAACATTTTAGGCTCGAAATTAGAAAAAATTGAATAATTTTCGTTGCTGCGATCGAAGCTTCCTTGATTCAGTCCTGATACGACTGTTTGAAGTTAATATTCGTTTGAATTCGATACAACTTCCTGAATGAAGACTCGATAGAACGCGTCTTGATAATAATTTCTAACAGTTAATAGGACTTGAAGCAATGCGAATCGATGATTGATAAATAACGACGAGTTCGACGCGAACCGGTATGACTTGCATTATGTAAATCAGGAAATACGTTGTTAGCGTACCACGTCCGTGCTCGCAATCGACTACTGATAACACGATAATTGCGTAAACTTTTCCCAGCTGATAGTACGTCAACGATATCGAGGTAAAATTATCAAGAAAATTAATTAATTCGAAAGATTTCTGTTCCTTCGAAAGTGATTAATTAAAAAATAGCCGATTTTCGATGATTGTACCAATAAACGAATTAAGAAGAAAGAAAAAAAAGAAAGTAAACCGAAGGTGCCACGTGTGATTGCTCGATCGAATTAACACGTTCGTCGCCACGTCGACACTGGGAATTTAATTTGATCATGATAAATAATTTCAGCACCGACTGGTGGTCCCGCGTTAAATAATCCATTTTATCGCGTCTTATTTGATACGATTATTTCCACTGTAACAATCAACACGTTAATTCAAGGCTGTCAAGCTGATATCGAAAAACAAAGAAAAAGGTCATTCATCTGGTAACGGTACCACTTTTCGTGTTTCGCCTAAGCGATCGAACATTTTCAGCGACCGATCGCGACAAGTTGATCGTGAAAAATAACTGACGCGATTTCGTTTCATGCAACAATAGAGCAATTTTCTCGGAGAATCAGTGGAAACAGATACAATTACCCCAGGCGATATTCAATTCCTTTATACCGATTGAAAGCCAAATACGGCAATTTTCGAGTAATAAGAAAATTACGTAGGAACAACCTGTTCTAATGATTATCTGACGGTAATTCGACGGTAATTTCTTGTCATTCAGGGTTCAACGGCAAAATAAAGATAAAATACAAAGGATCTTAGGTAAGACGCAACTTGCTATCGTTTCGAGTAAATAAAACGCTTTAGAAGTACGATATCAAGCGTCCTGTTATTGAAGAATAAGAAATGAATAAAGGTGAATCGGATTCTATCGTGTACCTTAACCGGACACTGGGAATAAATAAAATCAAATAAACGGGAAACAGGTGAAATGATTTTACAAACAAAATGATTCTGTATAGAAATAGAGCTATGAATATTCGTTGGTTAACGCGTTTCATTGATTTTACGTCAGTTTAACAGGTTTCCAACGATGCTTCAGAAAAAGGTGTAACGCGTATCTTCCCGCTGATCGTCCATGAATGCCACGGTACTAATGATTCAAGGCCTCTATTGACAATCCACCATCTATTATTATTTTCAAACGCGACGAACACGCGTTATAACGGGGAAACGAGCACAACCTTGCGCATCTCTTCGCTACTCTCTTTCGCCGTTCACTTTTCAGAAACATTTCTCTGATAAAAGGGTTACTCGAATATGATTTCACATATTTTTGATCATCTTCATTATCAAACGCATTAGCGAATTATATTGAAATCGATCAACAAACGTGTAGCTCATCAAAGAATTTCTCGTTTTACTTTTTATAGTAGAGCTTTGCTAGAGATATTAATCTTGTATTTATTTATGTTCATTATCGTTCGATAACCATTCCGACTTTACGACATGTAATACAGAGGTATAATTAATTCATTCTAAAGTGTGTATGACACAGTTACATGCTTTAGCTTTCAGCTGCTGAAGAGGCATAGATAGTGGTGTGTTTTTTCGAGCACGAGAGTGTACGTTCTACTTTTGATACTTTACGAACTAGGAAAGTCGTTAATTGATATAACTTCGATTGTTCGGTACAAGAAGATAATACGATAATTTTCAAATTATCTTCATCTATTTAACTAAACTCTGTTGGATTAATTAACACGTCGATCGTCGCGAAGGTGCCTCGAATTAGATACGATCAAATGATTTCATTTATACTTAAATTAAATTATATTCTAAAAAAAGGATGTAGTAATATAATTTTTGAATATTTCGTACCAATTCACGAATTATTAAAATTATGAACAGAAACGTCTAAAAAAGTCGCTGTACTATATAATTAAGAGGTTAATTAATTCAATAAACCTTCACAGGACAGATGACCTATTTTAATGCTTCAACAATTAACTGATCATCCCACTACGACGATAAAAATATTAAAATATAAAAAAGTAGATATACAATTTCGAAGTGGTAAATAGCAAACTTCTAGGGAGAAAAAGTTTCTACATTATAATTAAGAGTTTAATTAGATAACTGAGGAAAGAACCTTCACCTATTTCAATGCTTCAACAACGAACTCGTAATCTCGCCATAAGGATAAAAATATTCTTAGAACGTCAGATTGCAATTAACATTTCTCTTTTTAAATAAAATGATAGAAAATAAAAAATCATCATCTCATACCGGAAATCGGAGGCGTTAGATATAGGAGGATGGTAGCTAACGAGTCAATAGACGGTATTTAAGGGGCAGCAAGATGATTCAAGGGATTTCACCGATGCGGGCCATTGAGAAAACTTTGAACACGTGTACCAGCGGACTGGTAGTGGAAAGTAACAGAGAGGGGATAAACATCGTGCGTCGTGTACAGACCAATGCTAACGCAAGTAGCTCGATAAAGCACTCTTTACCATGCTACTCAACTTTGTCCAGTTAATGGATTCGCAATATAATTGAATTCAAATTGCACAATGTTGCTTTCTATTTCAAAATTTCAGTATAAAAGACTGCAACTCCTAATGCTGGTGATTCATAATAATGAGTTGCACATAAAGAATAAAATAATGAGACGTTCAACACGTTGCAATATTAAATATTATTCACTTTGTATGTTTAATTTATAATAAATGTGTGCTTTATAATAAATAAAATAAAATTGTTGCATGTACAAACCGATATTCAAAGAGAAAAATATGATGCATAGGAGGAATGCAGGTACTTACCATTGAGACCATACTTCTCCTGGTTCCTCTTCACCTGATCGACAGACAATCCTTTATCAGGATCTACATTAAAGTAATTTACCACCTCTTCCACTGTTTTGCAATGGCCGTCCTCCATGGTTACCTTGTATTGGTACTTCACTAATCTTATCTGTTCAGTGGTTGTCCACGTTCATTCACACTGCAGTTTCTGCAATTCAAATGATATTACAAGTTAGAAATTTTCTTTCAGTTGATTATTTATAAAGTACAATTTTACATAGAAAATTTATAAACTAGGTAAATGATGAAGGTAAGAAACAAAGATATCCTGAGTTAATACCATTGAATATAATTAGATAATTATTCAGCAAACGAAGAATCGTTATGAAGTAATTCAACCAGAAGGATGGTTTTCATGAGTTTTAATAATTTCAGCATAATGAACATTGGAGTAGAAAGAACAAAATATTGTTCTCAACAAACGTGAGAAACACGCTTCGAAATATAAATAAGGTCGAAAAGCAGTAATCAGCGTGAAAGGATCACGCGTGCACACGATCACATTGTAAACCATTTCAGGTTAAACACCCTGGTCCAGCCTCGAAAGTTACCAAGATGAACAGAATTCATCTACCTTGATCTCTTTGAACGAAAATACTCTATGAGATTCGTTAATAAGAGGAAACTCACCAAGGAATAAGCACAAAGTATTCGTTGGCGACGTGTCACTGGGAAATTACGTTACGGCTGTCGAATATTTAGGTTAGTTACAGGTCCCTAAGGTTCACTCGAGCACACAGAGAGGAAGAAAACAGAAACGAACTGACACGAACAAACAAATCGCCGGACACTGAAAAGAAAAATTTCTACGATCGGGGCACAACGTATCACGATACGCGGGCACAGAAATTTGAGACGCACGTCATTTTCATAACGATATATTTCCCGTAAATGCTAAGCAAACCTCCTCTTCCGTGAGACTGACACAGCGAACGGCAAATCATTGCACACGTGCGCCACCTGGCGGAATGCGCCATTAAACAAATTGCAGCGCAGTTGCTTTCGCGCCGTCTCGCAATCCGCGTCAACCAAAGTTTAACAGGTTAAAGATGAAAAACATTTCTCGAGGAACCGTCGTTTCTCCGGGCTTATATCTTTTTCTATTTCAAAGTAGAATATTCTTTGCGATCGCGATAACGTTCACCGTGTCATTCACGAGAAACGCGTTACAGAGACGGCGCAACGCGAAGCAGGAAAGTGCGTGCGAGTCGAATGAACCGAGCATGTGGAGCGACGCTATTGGCTGGACAGCGTTCGTCAAGTATGACGCACTCAGCTATTTTCAGTCTTCTGCTAGTCTATTTCCTTGGCGCGTATTTTAAGACATTCAAAGGACATCGCTATATTGTCGTTATGTAACCAATTGCTCTTATAATTTCATCTCGATCACTTTGATCGACAGTTCATGATCGAACATCGATTCGAATCGAACGTCTTTCGATTTATCGATATATACCAAACGGGGAAGCGCTCAGTTTATAATAAATTCAGGTGGGCAGCAATGGAGGCAAAAGATGGATACTATATCGAAAACTTTTGCTAAGATTATGTAATGAAAAAGTATACAAACTTCTACGTTATATATTGGAATTTTCTTGGCATATGGTTAATGTAATTGTCATTTAAAAAAGCAACTTTTGAAATAAACGATCAATTATTTTTTTTTTCAATTTCTTTCCCGATATGAATTTACGTTATGTAACACGCGCTCGTGTGAAAGCCCGCCGATGGCCAATGTCTACGCTCGTGTCTAAAATTAAGTTTATAACTTTCCACGATTACAACAACTGCGACTCGTCGTATTGTAGAAACGTTAGTCAATAAATTTAGCCAGGCAGACCGAAACGAAATAAACGTCGTAAAGTAGCAAACTTATACGATGTAGAAGAAAATAAAGCTGTTTGATCGTGTTAGTGTATACTGAAAATTAATCAACACGTTGGGCCTCGAACGCGATTCCATTTTGAAAAATATACACGGGCGTAAGATACGAGAAGATTCAGAAAACAACTCTATCGTTCTACCGATACGTCATCGATCAACGATAATATATTAGTATTCAAGCGTACAGAAGAAGCATGGTTCCAGGATCGATCAAATCCTTCGTTGTATCAGTCGATCGTTCTACGTTCAAGGTCGACTGGTACCGGAACTTAAAATTCCACCCAAGTGCAAAGGTCGCGTGGTAGCAAACGCCGAAGCCAAGGTTAGCGCTAAACTTGAGCGTGAATGGAGTAGCCGGGAGCGTGAATCGGGGTTACGGTCATGAGCGATTCCGGGCATTGAGAACTCGCCTCGCGATCCTATTTAGTTATCTCCAACAAGTTCCACGAATACCGATCTATCCGTTTAGACCGCGACCCTGATGGAACCTAACAATGACCCAAAAGTCTAACCTTATATTTGTCCGAAAGCTTGTTCAAAGGAGGAAAATCGAAAGAAAAAAAAAAAAAAAAAAAAGAAAAACTGGAGAAAAATGAAAAATCCCAGCTGAACTAACCCTTTGGACGCTAATGCAAGTAGATGTCCCGTGGTAGCGACGAAAGTGCACAAGCGATCATATCAAGGTTCGCGCGGGGGATAAAGTTTGATGAAAGGCACGCGGCAAAAGGACGACGACGACTACAGCTGGTCGATTGGTCGCACGGGACTGCGGAACACTTGTGAACCGGTCCGAAAGCTGTCCGTACGACCAGCTCGCTCGAACGCCCGGGACGCGACTAGCCGGCCAAATCGCGCGTGCCCCAGCGGACGATTTTAGCACGTCTCTGACGACGACTTCCTAATTATTTTGGCAGAGATGGCCAGCAGCCACTCTAACTTCCCTCCCTCCCTCCTAGCCACCCATCCCTCTTTCACGTTTCATCTTTATCCCGTGCTACCTTTGCCTATCTACCTGTCCCTCTCTCTCTCTCTCTACCCTCTTATCTACATCATCCTGATCCTCGCTTTTTACCAACCGTACGCATTTTCATTGCCATCATTTTTATCTTTAATTTCACGTAACACCCGTCCACCCTCTATTAAAATCGCGATCGTGAATCTCTCGATAGTTTATATTTTTTTCCTGTTTTTTTTCTTAGAAACGAAGGAAGAACGATTCGGATGAGATAAAGTATACAAATGATTCAGTGAAATGAAATCGAGCGCGAAACGTTAATGCCATAATACTGTTAGGTAACAGACAGTCGGGGTGATATAATATTCGAATGGGTTGGGTGGCGTGGCGGAACAGTTTCTATTTGAAGATGAGATGCAACACGGTGGACGGGCTATAAAGATAGGAAATGTAGTACGTTTGTTGGCAAACAAGTAGAGGTCGTGTTTGTATGTAACGTGAGCCCCACATCGACACGTCCGATGAAGCAATACGCTATGTTAGTCTGGCTGCTACTTAAGCTTCTGTGCTATACTTCAAAGTAACTAAACGTTTACTGGCTATACAACTTTTCATATATATCAACGAATAACGACTTTCCGACAGCATTTCAAGTCAACTACGAATAACAATAATTGGAATATAAGCACGAAGAAGAAAAAGAAGATCTAAATCCCAACTAAACGAGTATCATTTCTCAATTAATCTTTTTCTCCTTTACAATCCCAATGATCACTGGACACCGAAACAGAGTATCGACACACATGCGATCTCAATGATGATGGAGGGATCTAGGGATATACCCTGTCACGGTTTTGTAACAAATTTCCACAATTACTATAGTCCACGATTGCTAGTCCCTCGTATCTTGACCGAACGTCGCACAACACTTCTCGAAATTGTCCATTCGATTCTCCTTATTTTCTATAATACTCCTTTTCTCCCATGATTTCACACTTAGTAGTCGCGTACCATCACAAGAAACACTTAATTACAATGTCGACGGTGTTGAGCGGTGGTGGTAGCGCGGCAAGCAGACTTACCAAATACTACTTCTTTTCTCTGCTTTATCTCTTCTCCTATATTGTTGTCTATTGTTTGCTCGTTTTTATGAAACCGGCCCAACTGGTGGGTCCTCAACCCCGTCGCACTTCGATCGAGGCGGCACGGGATTCGTACGGCGCGGATCAAGACGAATTGAAAAATTGTGTCACACGCACTCTGCGCAACCGTGTAATCCTCTCTTCTCCCTGATACGTACGATGATCCGTTAATTAGCTACTCCTCCCTGGGCATCGTTCTTGATGACGCGCGCTGCTTCCTTTTATTTATTCTCCTTTTTTTTTTTTTTTTTTAAATTTCTTTTTACTATTTACTCTTTACATGAAGGGTGGCGTCGGAGGGCGAAAAACAAACAAACATTCAAAGGGCAACGCCTGCGCTGCTCAACGAAACGAAGCGACGAACCTCGCCGAAATTCCTTTAAATAGTCCGTAGGCGTCGCTACCTGGCGGCGAGACATCGAACGAGGGAAAACTCTGGCCGGAAGCCAGTGGTCCCGGCGACGGCCGTACAGCCTCTCGTGCCTGTCGTCGTAGTTTTTTCCATTTAACCTTCGAATATCGCCGAGCAGACACGCTCGCTAAACCTCGAAAATCGATTCACCGACACGCATCAGATCCGACTATCGAACGTACACCGCGATAAACCAGCGATTCCAGCCGACTTCCGGTACCAGGACGCTGCCGCCGTTCTTGAGATCATCCTTCGCGCTTCTTTCGCCTCTCGTTTCTTTCGGTAAAACAGAATGAAACCCGGATTTTTTTATGTACCAGGTGTTTTTCAAATAAAATTCTCTTCGGAATGATAAATAATTACTTTGTTTTCTTCTTTCGTATTTTTAATATCCTGCCTTGAATTTTCAAATTTAAATACTTGGTGAGATAAAAGAGAATTATATAAATTTTTTTAACCAACGATATCTTTAGACACCGATGACTTTAGGGCATAAAATGAAAAGATAGTGTTTGAACAAAAGTTCACCTAGTTTCCCTGCACACAATGCTCCTGTTGGAAACGTTCAAGGTACACATTTTTCCTAAGATCGAAAATAGGTGGTTGGCTCATGGCCAGACGCGATATCAGCTACAACCTCGAAGACAATCTATCGACTGCGACCCCCAGCGATGGAAGCTGCGCGGGAAAAATTTGTTATTTCGCCAATCATCGGGACAGATCATTTGTATTATCGAGCCGAACACGACAATGCCACGAATACAAGAAGCTCCATCATTCGATCCTGTTTATTGTCCGAGCGGAACACGAACGCGTCGATTGGCGCGAATCTTGTTCATCTCGTGGAAAGCACGGCACGTTACATAATTATGGTCCAATATGTGCCGAACCTAAAATAAGAACACGCAATCTTCGTTTCTGTAATTGTTCGGTACTAATTTCGCCTCGAAGATGCTGCTCCGTTCGCGCACAGATTTTCATTCCAATTTTTCTTTCTATTTTCTCTCAACGTCTAAGCGGAAAATTTTCCATCCTCTAGATAGTCAATCTTCTTCTCAAACTTACGCGTCTTCGTCCAAAGAGGACGCGCTCTTGAAAATAAAATTTTCTCTTACACCCTGAAAAAGATTATAAGAAGAAAAATAGCTCCGGAGGGAAGAGAATTCAGCTTCCTAGGATAGTCTGCTTGTTCTCAATTACCGATATATCTATGCACGCATTTAACAGGAATATTATTCATAAATAAGAGCAGGAACGAAGCGTTTGCCGCCCACGCAACGGCGCCTGAACGCTTCGAGTATAAGAGCAGGAGACTCGAGCGTGCGAGCAACACGTCGGCGGGGGTTCAAACGAAGAAGAAGAAGACGAAGAAGAAAGAGACGAGGCAACGGTCAACGTTCTGCTTCTGTTGCACGGCTCCTAAATATATTTAATATACGGCCACGTCACGGGTTGCGCGTCGTCCATGAATCCGTTTCATCCAGGCTAGCTCAACCCCTTCCTTGTAACATCATCGCGGATTTACATCGTCGGTGGTTGATTTTGAAATAAATCTACGCGAGATTAGGATCATCAGACCGAACGATAAGAAATATCGTTAACTCGAAGGTCTTGATTTCAGGTGATCCAGTTTTTACTTTTTCATTTTCAGCGCGAGTACGCCCCAGGGAAATACTCCGTGATTGGTCAGCCAGCGGGCAACGAGCTCGATCGTCGGAACTTGTCACGGTTTATTCCCCAAGTCTCGCGTCCCTTATGTTTGTTCAACGAGGCATGTGCCACCGCGTCTTCATGGAGAAGGACGTTTCTCAGAGGGAATAAATACGGCGGAGTAAATGAATCAGCGAACTGTTAACTACAGACGCGACACGCTAAAGTAAACGTAATATATTGGATGCCGCGTGTCTCGTGTAAATGAAACTTCAACGATACCGTTTACGAGATCGTCCGTAAGAAAGTGCCGCGAAAGTAGGTGTACAATTGGCTTTCGATTAAAAATAAACGCGCGAATAGTAAATCGGAATTATGCTACTTAGAAACCGTGTAAAATCCATGAGTATCGTTTTAAGTATTAGCGCGTTCATTTTTTCTTCTTTTTATAAGCGAAAGCATCGTCCGGAAGATTAAGTCCCGCGAGATGTCCATCGGTATTCTCTCATTATGAGGAACAAAAATAAACTTCGTTATTTTGTCGCGTTGCTCGAAGGAGCGGTGGTTCAAAGCATCGTGTTATTTTTAGGTAAAACATAAAACGTTACGTAAAAGTCGACCAGTATACCGACGTTCCGGGACATTATTACTCGAACCGTTTGTTCTTCTCGCTTACGACGAGAGGATTACCAGGGACGATCAGAAACGGCATCGGAAAACGTGGAATTATAGAATAAATCATCCACGATACGCTTGTCGGTCGATTAATATAAAGGAAAAAGAACGCGTAGCACGCGTGTGCTCGTTTATGAGCTGATAATAAGCGAGGGAACACGTGTTCCAGGAACTTTGATATTCCACGGTAACGTAAATTTTAGCGGCCGGTGGCCTGAAAATAGAGCGTCGAGCCTGCAAGTTTCCAGCCGCGAACCGATTTCTATTTATTTATGGACGTTTTCATAAACGAACTGCTAAACATCCACGACGAGACAGGCTGTGTCAGCCCGAGTGATCGATAGGACGTAACACGTCCCAGACTGAATCTCTTCCTCCAAGAATGATAAGGTGCACGCTGTTTCCCTCCTCCCGAGAATTATGCGTATCATCCGTTGTGAACGGAAACGAGATCGAAAGAAAAAAAATAGAGAGAAGGAAATGCAGGTGAACGGTGGATGATCAAGAAAACAAAGGGGGTTAGTTAAGGGAACAGAAGGTGGAACGAAGAGAAGAAGAACTCGGTTGGCTCTCGGTTCGGCCAACAAATCAACTCGCGCTCGCGTGAGAAAAGGCACTCGGTGAAGATTTAAACTCGAGCATCAAGAGGATCAAAGTTGAGATTCCGAATGACAGATAGGGGTTACGAGGGGCAGAGCAGCGTGCAAGATACGTCTATTCTGGATTCTGGCAACAATAATGCCTGCCAGGGACAGCGAGTGAATCGGGCGTAACACGCGCCCGGTATATACTCCGGCAAACAACTAATGACGCGGCTCGTACAAAGGCCGCCCGTTCTAATTTCGTGTTATCCTGTTGGTTGCCTAAAAATATGCGCGGGACAGGCCCGGGGTACGTTCACTTTTCGACGATGAAATGGAAAGTCGGCCGGTGTCGCGAGTCCGTCATCGCGACGCTCTTCAAGGTACGCGCTTGAACGATCATCCCCCTCGACGACGATGCTTTCTACAAAACGCGACGTACTCGTGTCCCCCGCTGATGGATGATCAATTTTCTCGGTTAATTAGGCACAGCTTTCCTTCTTCCGTTTCGTCCGAGTGAAAGTATCTGGAAACGGAGTAACTGCTAGAGTTTCAGATATTTTGAAACGAGGAAAAGAGGATAGCGTGTCGTTGGATGAAGCGTTGACAGGTAGACGAGATGCAGGTTTCCCTAGCTAACCGTAGGTCCGTTGAAAGAAACCTGACGATTAGGCTCAATTATCTATGTATCTCGCGCGATCTGGTTTAATGGCTGAGCTAATTATTCATCAACTTTACCGTACGCGAGTACTTTGACAGGATCCTCCATAAACGTATAAATAACTACTGATTCATTAAGGGAAAAAATCCAGTCAGGGTGCATTTGCACCAGCTGACGATGATTATGCACGCGTCGAGGAACAACAACAACAACTACTACTACCACAGGTCTTTGGCTCGATAGGCTTGCAACACGACGGCATTCTTTCCGGTAGGAAGTCTGAGACACGGAGTCAACGCGTCTGTCAAGCGAGCTGAGAGCCGCGAATCAAGAACGATCGGCCCGCGTTAAGATGGTGTTGGTGGTGGCAGCATGGCTTCTTGTGCCCGTTCGTTTTCAGGGTTAACGGGAATATCGGTGCCACTTATGTAAAATTTTCTACCAGTAACATTGGCTCCAATAATAAAACACGCCAGTCCGTTTGGTACCCGTGCACGTTCATTACCTACGCTGGTACACGTCTTAGCCACGAGTAATTTGCGAATAAAATCGTTCTGTGTGCGTGTGTGTCGGGTGCTTACGACCTAAACTAAAAATACGCGGGGTCCGATCAACGGCCAACTGGGCCAGTGAAGTAATCGCAGCTCAACGTCCCAAATATAGTCCGACATCTCTACGTAGCCGACGCACCGACCGATAGTTGGCATCCGTGGCAACGTACAACACCGAGAGTATAATAGTGGCTGTCACCACGATTCCCTAATGACATGCCTCGAACATTGGATCGTATTCATCGGTCCTCCGTTTTAATGTCTAATTTTGCTACGAATTTCCTCTTCTCGAAATTCATCCAAATTAGGCAGCTCTGTCGGTGCATCCCGAGTGCAACGATAGATGCATGATAATTCTATGATAAATTTAGTTTCTCGCATTTGGAGTGGAAACGAAGATGAGAGATTCGTAGACGAACATTTAACTTCGACACGACTATCTTGTTCGAAAATGCAATATAGTGCATTCGGTGCATCCGGACGCGACTCGTTGAAAGTACACGTGCCCGGGCCTATCCGACGTTCATGTATCATCCCGCTCGAGACGTATTACGTACAACCGACGACAGAGACAAACATACGATGGACCAGCTGTTTTATTTTAAGTGAAAGTGCAGACGAAACGTTAACTCGTTCCGCGGATTATTCTTTAGATTCCTGACGTTGCTGTCTCGAAAACGATTTTTCACAAGTCAACTAACGAGAAACATCTCGATCGTAGAATCTCACGCTTCTCGATGGACAAAGTAATTTGAAACATAGACACAACAAAAATCTAACGACAGTGAGACGAATGATAAATCATTGTCAAGGGAAGAAGTAATCTCTCACGG